GCCCACAGTGCCATTGTTAACAGGAGTGAGACACTGTACCCACCCAGAAAGGGTTTTCTTACTGAACATAAACAAATAGCTATATTGCCACAAAAACATTTACTCCGGAATAGTTTCCAAATTTTGGAGAATTCAGGTACAGAGAGGTAACTTTTGCTTACACAAGTATACTTTACCCTGTCTGGGGACAGTGGCTTACACCTATAATTCTAGCACTCTGGAAGGCCAAGACTGGTAGATTGCCTAAGCTTACAGGTTCAAGACTAGCCTGAGCAGAACGAGACCCCTGTCTCTAAAACTAGCCAGGTGTTGTGGTGGGCACCTATAGCCCCAGCTATTCATAAGGCTGAAGCAAGAGAATCACTTGAGCCCAAGAGTTTGAGGTTGCTGTGAGCTGTGACCACAGCACTCTACCAAGGGTGACAAAGTGAGACTCTGTCCAAAACAAACAAAAAAAAGTGTACCTTACCCCAGTTTCTCTAAGCTATAAGTAGCTGAAAAGGAAAAGGGTTTTCTTGACTCTTATTCAGAGTGATGGCTCCCTTAGGAGATGTCTATTCACCTAGGAGCTGCCATTAGCATCCCACTGCCAGATGACAGCTGTTTATGGGTCTCCAGCTCCTCCTCCCAGGGGTCTGGAGTCAGCCCCACTAGGAGAAAGTGATTGAAAGCACATATCGGGAGACTGAGATGGAATCTGTCAGCCTAGGGGAGACACAGCTGGTCTGGTCAGCTTAGATCCTGTCAGACCTTCACCCTGTCTCCCATTCTTACTGTTTTGTAGATTTAGCTCCCAGATGCCTATCTTGAGTAGTCTGGGTGGATTGATTTAGGAGATTCACTTTTGTTTTTTTTTTTTGCAGTTTTTGGCTGGGGCTGGATTTGAACCCGCCACCTCTGGCATATGGAGCCGGCACCCTACTCCTTTGAGCCACAGGTGCCGCCCAGGAGATTCACTTTTGAATTGGAATGTTATTTTTTCTTTTTTTTTTTTTTGTTTATTTGTTTTGTTTTGAGACAGAGTCTCACTTTCTTGCCCCTGGTAGAGTGCCCTGGCATTTTAGCATCTCAAACTCTTGGGCTTAAACGATTCTCTTGCCTCAGCCTCCCAAGTATCTGGGACTACAGGCGCCCACCACAACACCCGGCTATTTTTAGAGACCAGGTCTTCCTCTGGCTCAAACTGATCTCGAACCTGTGAGCTCAGGCAATTCACCCAGCTAAGCCTCCCAGAGTGCAGGGATTACAGGGATGAGCCACTGAGCATGGCCAGTTATGTTATTTTAGATCACGAGTTATACTGATTATTCTTTACTATGGCTCATGGGTTCTGCCGATTATTATTTAAGATAAGGGTTAAAATGGTTTTTACTGGGCAGCACCTGTGGCTGAAAGGAGTAGGGTGCCAGCCCCATATACCGGAGGTGGCGGGTTCAAACCCAGCCCCGGCCAAAAACAGCGGAAAAAAAAAAAAAAGGTCTTTACTTTGAACTCAGTTGTATAAAACTGTGATGTTGGAAATGGAAGATCAGAACAGGCTTGGAGAGGCTACTCTGTTCTCCAGAATCCCGGCCTGCTGACAAAGTTGGGTGGACCTAACCCTGTCTCTGCATATTGGCTGACACTCACTGGTGGCAGGACCCTCTCCATTAGTAGCATGTCACTGCTTGTTGCCCCTCCTCATTTCCACTCTGCTGTGGAGCTCCTCATCCACCCTGTGGGCATCACGGGTATGTCAAGTGTCAAGATCATTTTGAGTCTTTCATTCATAGGGGATCCTTCAGTCAATGTTGCACAAGACAAGAAATGCCTCCAGGTGGACTTTTTTTTTTTTT